CTGCCCAAATCATGCCCAGAGCTAGAGCCTCATTTCCTGTTCTTTCTTTATTATCCCCAAGTGCAATGACTGTAATTATCCTGGGAGACCATCACAGGTTCCAAGTGAGTTTCCTGGCCTTCATGCTCCCTCCCTGGGGTCTCAGGGAAATAATGACGCAGCAGCAGTTTGCCCCTTGCCTCCTCTTGCATGCGTCCCTATGATCCTCTGTGCCCCCTTCCCTATCCCAATCCCGCCCATTCTGTGCCATTGTGGGCTTGATCTTCCCCTTCCCCTACCAAAAAACCCCAATCCATCCTTTGGCTTCATCTCTGGTTGCGCAAGAATGGGTGATGGTTAGAATAACCAACCAACATTCACAGTACTTGCAATGAACCCTGCATTGATCTAAGATCTTTACCTCTAGGAAGGTTGTTAAAGCCCTACCAGTTAATGGGAGCTGAGATTTGAAGCCAAATGTCCAGCTTCAGAGACCAAGCCCTCATTCCCCATGTCATATTCTCTTGGTATGTAGAGTAGCTAATATTGCTATCGTTTCTGGCTGACAGGTCTGCGCTTTAACAAGGCCTTTCAGGATACCAGGTCTCGACTCAAAGGTGTGACTAAAGGTGACTAGATGTATTTGGGGTGAGCTTAGGGACAGGCCTTCTCAGGCTAGCTCCACCTTGTGGTTAATGCGTCTGCCAATTAACGTTTTCTCATTTGCCCTCAGATGCTAATTGAAGTCTTAATGATGACCCTGAGGCATTACAGGTTCCTGAAACTGCCTTCTGAATCATCAAAGATTAAGCTGTGCACTGCCTGGTTCATTTATTCAGTAAGTACTTACTGGGTGCCTATCAGCAGGCACCCGATATTGGCACCCTGCCTTCATCAAGCTGTAGTTTGATGGCAGAAATAATGTTAATCATTATTAACAGGGATGCCTGGGGCTCTGAGAGCATAAAAAGGGTCTGATGGATCAAGGGGTCAGGGAAGGCTGAGGAGCAATTGACTGAGTGGAGATCTTGAAGCATGAGGGTTAACTAGGTGAAGAGAGGAAGGAAGAACATTCTAGTCAGGCAGAACTTGCAAAGCCCTGTGGTGAGAGGGAGCATGGTAAATAAGAGGCCAAGGTGGCTGGAATGAAGGGAAGAAGGAGGAAGATGCTGGAAAAGGCTGGTAGGCCTGACTGCACAGGACTCTGTAAGCCATGTGAGTTTTGCTTTGTCCTAAGAGTGAGAGGAAGCATAGAAGAGTTTGATCAGATTTGCATTTTGAACCCATCACTCTAGCTGAAGTGTGGAGAATGACTGCTAAGTGTAATTTTTTGTATTCCAATGCCAACCATTTCTGGACATGAAGGATAACGGATGTTGTAATTGGCTTCCTCCAGTCAAGTCTCCCACCTGATTTTGGTCTAGAGGACTACATATTACCATGTTGGCTAGACTGGGTACACTCTGGGACATAAAACCTCCTAGGGCAGAGCCACCTACTTTTTGGTTTTAGGTGAGTGACTTGCACAGTACATTCACTTACTAGAAGGTAGATTTTGAAAGGATTCACAATCATCCCACCTAGTTCTTTTTACATAAATACCCTGTGCTTGGCGTTGTTTTATAGAAATGCCACCTCATTTAACCCCCACCATAGTCCTGTGAGGAGATGTTATTATTATTCTTGTCATACAGGTTGAGAAAGATTAAATAATGTGTTCAGGCCATTCCACTACTAAATACCCAGGAAAAGGACCCAAGGCTTCTTGATTTAGCCCATCCCAAACTCCTTCCTTAAATAAACCCATGCCAAAGGTAAGTTGAGCCCTTCCTACAGATTCCCTCTTTGAAGAGTACACTGTTGTAAACAATTTTCACTATTGCCACACCTATTCTGAACTCTAGGAACAGTTACCAAAGAGAAGAGGCATACCTTCCTCTTTCTAGTTACCTGCTTGCTCACTGAGGTGTGCCGGCAGCCCTCTTCCATTCTCTAAAGGCCTGCCAAACAGCCAAGCAGGAAACTGGCCTAAAAATAATCTTCTTAGGCAGGTGATTAACACCTGTCTTTTCTCCTCCAGTTTTATTCAAGTAGCCTAGTAACTAATAGTACAAGTTTATCAAAGCAGTTACAGTCAGTGCCTTAAAAGCTTTATTGCTCCATGAAGTTCAAGACAAATTACCTTTAAAATGTGGTTCTAATATCCTATGTGTAGGAGATACTTTTTCCTAGCAACACACTTGGACTGCAAATAACTTTTGCCTAGAGAAACATCAGTATTGGGGCGCCTGGGTGGCCCAGTTGTTAAGTGTCTGCCTTTGGCTCACGTCATGATCCCAGGGTCCTGAGATCGAGCCCCACATCAGGTTCCCTGCTCCACGGGAAGCCTGCTTCTCCCTCTCCCACTCCCCCTGCTTGTGTTCCCTCTCTCGCTGTGTCTCTCTCCGTTAAATAAATAAATAAAATCTTAAAAAAAAAAACAAAAAACCATCAGTATTGTCAAAAACAATGACATTGATTTTTTTTCCCCCAATGTTCTGCACTTTCTCTTTTTTGAAAAAGAGGATAAATCAGACAGGTTCTTAGAACTCGTACCTTTGTAGGAGGTGTGGGGGAGCCAGGTTGGCACAAGTAAGAATTGAGGTATTGTTTCTGCTGCGGCATAAGAAGGTGGGATAAAGCCCTAAACTTCATGAGTGAGTTCTGATTCACCCTTTGCATTTCTTTTTAATGCTCATGTTAAATATTAGGAGGGGCATCTGGCTGGCTCAGTTGGAGGAGCGTGTTGTTCTTGATCTTGGGGTCATGAGTTCAAGCCCCACATTGGATGTAGAGATTACTTAAATAAACTTTTTAAAAAATGGTTATTTTTTTAAAATAAATAAGTAAATAAATAAACATTGAGGAGAGACCAGTAGCAGAGGGTCTGGGGCATGGGCATGGAGAAGATGAGGAGGAGGTGAAATGGAGCACTTATGCATTGATGGGAGGTAAGGTGGAAGGAAGCAGTCAACAAGAAGAGGGACTGTAAGAGGAAAGAGAGTGGTTGGAAATGAACTGGAAAAGTAAAGAGAGAACAGCGAGAAAGCAGAGGGAAGAAAGAAATGCTTGCATGAGGGAGAGTATTCTTGTGTCCTTACCATGAAAGATCTGGCATCCTTACCAGGGACCTTTCTGAAGATCCTGTCTCCTTATCACTCAACTCCAGCAGCACTAACTTCCTTGCTGCTCTTGAGCACTCCGGCTTTAGGGCCCTCTATTTGCTGTCCTTCCTCCAGGTATCTACCAGGCTATTCCCTCACTTCCTTTAAGGCTCAGCTCAGGTGATTGCTGTATCCACACCCTACATAAAACAGCACCTCCCTCCTCTCTATCTTTACTAGGCTTTATTCTTAAAGCTGCAATCACCAGCCCCTACACTATTTGGTCATTATCTGACACCCTCCTTCTTCCTCCCCAGAAGGTAAATTCCATGTGTGCAAGGGACTTCATTTTCTTCGTTGATATATCTCCAGGACCTAGCCTGACACTGCCGGGGGGTGGGGGTGGGGGGTTGCTCAACACACGTTGAAGGACTCGAGGAGTGGGTGCAGGTGGGGGAGAGGGTGTTCGGGAGGGGTGTTTGGGGGTGTGCTTCCAGCCCAACAGACTAGCATTCTTTTTCTCTCTTCCCCTCCTCAATTATGAGACTAGAAACAAGCAGGAATGAGGCAAATAAGGAAGCATGCAAATTAGTCCAGCTCAAATTCTAATTAAAAGTGCACAAGAGAGAAGGACTGAAAGGTAGAGAACATTGCACACGCAAAAGTGAAAGAGTGAAAAGAGAAGGCTAACAGACGTCACTCTCTCTGGTCATTCTCCCTGATCCCCCCCAAGGCAGGGCGAGGCGCTCCTGGCACTCTCCTCTATAGCCCCTGTTGCGGCTCCTTGTCACTACCACGTTGAAGGCGTCCAGGCCAGCCTCGGCCGAGTCCCGGCACGCGCCAGCCGGAGCCGCGAAGGCGGCCGGGACTACAGCTCCCAGGGTGCCGAGCGCGAGGGGCGCGTGCGCAGTGCGGCGGGAGGCGGCGGTCTGTTCTCCGCTGAGGAGGAGCGGGGCAGAGGAGGGAGGCAGTGGGTGAGAGTTCAGAGTTCAGCAGCAGCAGCCCGAGCCCATGATTCCCATATGCCCTGTAGTTTCTTTCACCTATGGTGAGTATAATGTACCCCGCTGAGGTCCCTGCCCGGCCCCTTCCCCGACCCGGGGCCGCGGGGAGGCGCGGGGGTTGGGGCTGGCTCCGGGGAGGAGGCGGCGGCCGCCACCGGGGCGTGCGAGTGAGTGAGGGAGTGCGAGGCGGGAGGGGGAGGCGGCGCGGCCGCGGCCCCGATCCCGGCCCGGCGAGGGCGGCTTCTCACGGCACCTCTCTCTCTCCCCTTGCCTCCCTCGGCGTCTTTGCCCCACCGCACCTCTCCTCCCGCCATGGGACCCGACTCTCCATGCCCGCCGCAGTGCCCAGCCGGCTGGGGGAAGATGCCAAAATGGCGACCGGCAACTACTTTGGATTCACCCACAGCGGGGCGGCGGCGGCGGCGGCTGCGGCCCAGTATAGGTAACGGCTCCCCGCCCTCTCCCTTCTTCCCCCCCTGCTCGCTCT